ATTCTCTTTACTCCTAGTTGTAGAATTTCCACTCAGCCAGCCCTCCTGTGGTTCTGGATGTTGTCCGGTCCCTGGTTCAAGCTTAATTTGAATTGGTTGTTCAAGGCAGCAATCTCCGGCGTTAACCTATGCCGCCATCTTCGGTTCTTTCTAAGAAGGTTTATATTTAAGTCTTTAATCTACTCTGAGTTAATTTTTGTATATGGTGTCAAACAGCATTCTAGTTTCATTCTTTTGCATGTGGCTTTTCAGTTTTCCCAACACAATTTATTGAAGAGGCTTTCTTTTCTCCATTTTATGTTTTTGGCTCCTTTGTCTAAGATGAGTTGCCCATATTCATGTGAGTTTATTTCCAGCTCTCAATTCTGTTCCATTGGTCTCTGTGTCTGTTTTTCTGCCATCACCATACTGTTTTCCTTTCTGTAGCTTTGTGGGATAATTTGAAGTCAGGGTGAGTGATACCTTTGTTCTTTTTTCTTGGGGGTCTTTTTTGGTTCCATATAAACTTGAGGATTTTTACTCTATTTCTTTGAAAAATGCCATTGAAATTTTGATGGGGATTGCATTCAATCTGTATATTGCTTTAAGTAATATGACCATTTTAACTATGTTGATTCTTCTAATCCATGAGTACAGAGTATCTTTCCATTTCCTTTCGTCTTCAATTTCTTTCAACAATGTCTTGCAGTTTTCAATATATAGATCCTTAATTTTCTTTAAGTTTATTTCTAGGTATTTTATTCTTTATGTTACACTTACAAATGGAATTGTTTTCTTCATTTCTTTGTCTGACATTTCATTGTTAATATATAGGAATGCAATGGATTTCTATACACTAATTTTGTCTCAGCGGCCTCTTTACTGTATTTGTTTGTTTCTAATAGTTTTTTGGCGGAGTCCCTCTGTTTTATTATAGTTAGAACTTTTGAGTAACAAACAGCCTGTCATGCACGAGGAAAGCATATCAAGTTGTTTTTGTGGTTTGGTTTGAGTGTGAAAAGAAAGCATGGGCATTGTATGTTCATAGAAACTCCTGTAGGATCCTGTTCCCACACAGGTTTCCTTGTTGAAGGGCTAGGTTCAATATGCCCTGGCTAACCCTGGGAGGTGGGATATATAAGGGAGAAGGAAAAAGGAAAGAGTGCCGCGGCCAGACTGGAAATACAACTAAATTGGTTTTCTGAGAGACCAGACCTGGGTTTAATTTAAATTTCTTCTTTATTCTCTGCCTGGGATTCTCCTCATCTCCTAGCACCAACTTTGGCTGAATCTAAAAACTGCTATTTCTAGTCGTCTTCCTTTCTCCATATGTTCCCATGTAATCAGAGTTAAGTTATTGATCATATTGGTTTTA